CTAAGTTGGGTATCCACCATGAATTCCTCAACCAATGGGCTTGAGACCCATCCCCCTCGACGAATCTAGGACCAGCTTCCGACTTAACCCTTTGGTAAGCGGATATGCTAGGTTCCTTTCCGACTTCACGTACTCTAAAGAGAGCACTCCATTCTTTATTAAGTGTCTAACTGATTCATGTCTTATGCGAATGTGTCTTTTCTTACCATTGTAAGCTTGGTTCTTAGCCACACATATCGCAACTTGTGAATCACATAACAATGAAACTAGAGGAGTCGGTCTTCCCCACAACGGAATATCTGCTAACAAGCTTCTGAGCCACTAGGCTTCTTGCCCAGCTAGGTCAAGAGCTATAAACTCTGACTTCATGGTAGAACGAGCAATACAAGTCTTCTTTGATGATTTCCACGAGATTGATGCTCCACCCAAAATAAAAACATACCCGCTCGTAGAGCTTACCTCATCATTATCAGAAACCCAGTTGGCATCACAATATCCTTCTAGTACCGCAAGAAAGCCAACAAACTCAAGTTTCCAATCCAAAGTACCCTTAAGATACTTCAGTAAGCGTTTAAGAGCAATCCAGTGCTCACCACTCGGATTATGAGTATATCTACTCAGTCTACTCACAACATAAACAATATCAGGCCGAGTATAGTTCATTAAGAACATTAAGCTCCCAATTAATTTAGCATATTCAATTTGGGAAACGCTACTTCCTTTATTCTTAACTAGATGTATGCTAGGGTCATAAGGAGTTCGAACAGGGACGACATCAAAACTGTCAAATTTCTTTAGCACTTTCTCTATATAATGTTCTTGACATAAAGAAAATCCCTTCTCAGTTTTGGTAACTTTGACTCCTAAGATTACATCTACTTCTCCCAAATCTGTCATCTCAAACTTAGTGGACAAGAAATTTTTAACTTTGTTAATGGACTCAATATTAGAACTGAAAATCAACATGTCATCAACATAAAGACTTATGATAACACATTCAGTGTCAAACATCTTCGAATACACACAAGCATCCGAACCATTCATAACAAAACCAAAACTAAGAATAGTTTTATGAAATTTCTCATACCACTGTTTAGGAGACTGCTTAAGTCCATAGAGTGACTTTTTGAGTCTACAGACTTTGCCTTCCATACAAGGTGCTTCAAAACCTAGTGGTTTCTCCATGTAAATCTCCTCATCTAGATCTCCATTCAAGAAAGCAGTCTTAACATCCATTTGATGTACCTGCAACTTATGAATAGAGGCTAGTGCAAATAATGCACGAATCGTTGAGATTTTTGAAACGGGAGGGTATGTATCAAAGTAGTCTAAACCAAACCTTTGAGTGAACCCTTTGACAACTAACCTTGCCTTGTACCGCTGAATCGAATCATTTGGCCTTAGTTTCTTCCGGAAGACCCATTTGTTGGAGATTGGTTTGAATCCCTTAGGCAAGTCAACTAATTCCCAAGTATGATTAGACATTATCGATTCTAGTTCATCATTAACAACGCTTTTCCAAAAACTAGCATCGATAGATCTTATAGCTTCTTCAAAAGTTTTAGGATCCTCATCTAACAGAAAAATTTGAGCTATATGATCTGAAATGGAGTCTAAATCATTTATTTCAGAAATAAAGGAAGTAATAAAGTCTGGTCCAAAAGAGGTTTCAACTCTTTGCCTTTTACTTATTCTAGGCTCAAAAATAATTTGTTCAGAAGACCTAGCATGATTACTAGAAGAAGTTGATGGAATATATTCTATTTGTGTTTCAATATTTATTATCGGTTCCTTTAAAAGAAAAATATTTTCAAAGAAAACAGCATCCCTTGACTCACAAATAGAATAATCTTGTAAAAGCATGAATCTGTATGCAACATTATTAGTAGCATACCCTATAAACACTGCATCAACAGTTTTAGGTCCTATGGTGGACTTCTTAAAGTCTGGCAAACCCACTTTAGCCAGACACCCCCACACTTTCAGGTATTGTAAATTAGGAGCGTATCCTTTCCTCAATTCATATGGGGTAGAATCTAATTTCTTATGAGGAACTCGGTTCAAGATATGAGTTGATGATAGAATGACTTCCCCCATATGTTATCAGATAACCCTGAACTTATTAGTAAAGAATTCATCATCTCTTTTAAAGTTCTATTTTTCCTTTCGGCTATACCATTCTGTTGAGGAAAATAGGGGGCTGAAGTTTCATGAATTATGTCATTCTTTTCACAAATATCTTTTAAGAAATTAGATCCATATTCACCACCTCTATCAGATCTAACCCGTTTGATTCTCCTATCTAACTGATTTTCAACTTCTACCTTATAAATAAGAAAGAAATTTTCAGCTTCATCTTTAGTCCTTAGGAGATAAACTTTTGTATATCTTGAATAATCATCTACAAAAGTTATGTAGTAGTGTTTTCCTCATTTACTTTCAGTGTTTCTAAAATCTGCTAGATCAGTATGAATAAGTTATAACAGCTCAGTCTTTCTATTAGAAACAATCTTAAAGTGAGGTCTAGTATGCTTAGCTTCTACACAAATTTCACATTTGTTAAAGCTAGTTGTGTCTAGTTTAGGCAAAATATTCGTATTTATCAATTTCTTTAAAGCATGAATATTCACGTGTCCTAATCTAGCATGCCACATATCAATGGATTCAACAATATAAGCAGAAGTGGTAGCTTTATTTTCATTAAATTGAGTTTCTATGATAAATAAACCATTGCTTAAAAACCCTTTTCCAACATAATCACCATTTTGAGAAAGTACAAGTTTATCTGCCTCAAAAACTAACTTAATGCCTGCCTTATTCAGAAGCCCACCACTTATCAAATTTCTACACAAGGCAGGTACATACAGAACATTATTTAAAGCCAGAGTTTTACCAGAGGTCAACTTGAGTAAAATTTTTCCTTTGCCTAGCACTTCAGAGCTGCTAGAGTTCCCCATGTACACACGTTCACCTACGTTCACATCCTCGAATTCGGTGAAAAACTCATTCCTTACGCAGAAATGCTTTGAAGCGTCAGTGTCAACAACCCATTCCGAACTGTTTTCCACCAGATTGACTTCTGAGACCACCGCAACAATGATCTCATCATCTTCTTCTACAACGTGCATCTGTGGCTTGTTGTCATTCTGGCGGTCTGAGCGGTGTTGGCATTGGTAAGCTTTGTGGCCGGGTAAACTGCAGACATAACACTTGAGCGTCTTTCCTTCAGGTTTGGCCTTTCCTGACTTATTGAAGTTGGTAGCCTTCTGAGGTTTCGTCTTCTTGTCTTGATTCCCACGTTTCATGATCTTCTTAAATTTAGACTCAACCAAATTAGCTCTAAAAGATAAATTACTCATAGAATTAGTAAGCTTATCTTTTAAACGGTTGGCTTCTTCAATCTTCATATGACCCATGAGCTCTTCAAGCGAAATTTCTCTCTTCTTATGCTTAAGAGAGTTGCGGTAGTCGGACCAGGACTTGGGCAGCTTCTCAATGAGAACATTGGCTTTCAGCACCTCGCACATTTGTATCCCTTCGGCGATGATGTCAGCGACTAGGTTCTCATAGTCATGGACTTGATCCATTATCGGCTTGTCATCAGTCATCTGGAATTTGAGTCATTCGCCGACAACGTACTTCTTAATGCCAGCATCGTCCTCACCATACTTCTTGCAAAGGCAGACCACGTTGTTGCTTCTTTCGATATCTCCAAACCATAGCTTCAACCGTTGGTTTTAAGCACGGCGGCAACCGATGTTGATGGCAACGAGGAAAGCCGTGAAAAACACAGATTATTGGGAGCATCTTAGCTAGCTGAATGTGCTACGGAAATGGAAGCTTATGAATTTATTGGATTTGTTTCGAGTAAAATTCAACGGTTCTAGTTCTTGAACTGGTAAGAAATGGTGGATGCTGCTTCCGTGTTAGTGGTAATATGTTCATGAAAGTTCCTGCAAAGGGAAACTGAATTGGAAACGTAAATTTCTTTTAATCCTTAGGATTATAAAGTAATATTTATTTCAAATTTTATATTAATTATTAATAATATACCTCATATATATATATAATTATTTGAACCCAAATTATTTAAGAAAAATTATATTTTATGTTATTATTAAGACGGCTTTAAAATCTTCTATAAGTGAGATTAAAAATAAATCATGTAGTTTTAATAATAAAAGGAAATGTTTTTTCTAAAAGGATTAGCTTTTGTTGAATACGTTTGATCTTTGGATTTCGCCTCCTCTCAATTGGTGTAAGGTTAATACTGATGGTTCATTTAAAATAGGTGACGGATTTGCTACATGTGGGGGTGTCATTAGATCCTCGAATGGTGGTTGGATGATTGGTTTCTCTAAAGCGATCGATATTTGTTATATTGTTGAAGCGGAATTGTGGGGTATCCATGAAGGACTTTCTCATGCTTGGAATCTTGGGGAGAGGCAAGTAATGGTAGAAACCGATTGTTTGGAGGCTGTTCGAATGTTGCAGGAAAGTGATAGAAGAGCTTCGATCATCATGCTTCTTGATTGTGTTAAGGAGTTGATACATCGGGATTGGAATGTGGTTTTGAAGCATATTCACCGGGATACAAACAAGGTGGCTGATACGTTAGCGAAGTTAGCTACAGCGAGGGGCGAAGTCCATATGGTTTTCACTACTCCGCCAATGAAAGTTATCAATTTTGTGCAACAAGAAGCTGCTAACAGTGTTTTGACACCAGCTTTTAATTCGTGTATTTTATTCCTCTTGTTTCATTAAAAAAACAGTTTTTCTTTAAACTCAAGAAAAGTAGCCTAAAACTTTTTCCTACTGATCCGTCTTTGCTTATAGTTCTTTATAATTCAGTGTTCCACTTTAACTAACTTCTCACGTGGGTTTAGTACGACGTCGGCTGTTTTTGGATCGGGTCGGTGGATCCAACCCACCCAATACAATGGTACCGAGTCATTTTCCTCCACCGATTTGTTTCTCCTTCCACAATTGACATTCTTCCTTCCTCGACCCAGCTAATTCAACCTCTAATTATTATTATTCGTATTTTTCAAACCCTAAAAGATTAATTAACCGATCCCGGTCTCCATTTTAATCCGCAGACTCGGCCGTTTCCTTCACTCGTTGACTCACTGATCACTCATAAGCAAAGCAATGGACCGGGATTCATCCGACGAAGACGACGACCGCCAGACCTTAATCCACCAAAACGACACCAAGAACCTCCCGCACCAAATCCCAACCACCCAACGCGCTTCCACTCCTCCGAGATCCAGTTTCCGCATCGAGGAGATCGAATCCCAAATCCGACGCCGTTTCAAGCTCTCATTCAACAAACGTTACCTCTTCGCCATCGTTCTCCCTCTCCTCATCATCCCTATCTTCTTCTCCGCCGACATTCGCTCCCTCTTCTCTTCCAACATCTCTTCCCTTAAATTCAATACGGCGTCGGATCGAATCAAAGAATCCCAACTCCAAGCTCTTTACTTGTTGAATCAACAGCAGAGTTCCCTTCTTTCTATTTGGAATCACGCTTTCGTGAATTCTAATAACAATATCACCGCCGTTCAATTTGATGATTTGAAAGCTGCATTGCTCAATCAGATCACGTTAAACAAACACATTCAGCAAACCCTCTTGTCCCCTCACAAAACCGGAGACGCCCTTGAAAACGGCACCGTTTTGGACCCCGACTATGCCGGTTACAGTTTCGACCGTTGCAGAAAAGTTGACCAGAAATTCGCTGAAAGAAGAACGATCGAATGGAAACCCAAGCCCGATAAATTCTTGTTTGCGATTTGTTTGTCAGGTCAAATGAGTAACCATCTAATTTGTTTGGAAAAACACATGTTTTTCGCAGCGGTTCTGAATCGGGTATTGGTGATTCCAAGTTCGAAATTCGATTACCAGTACAATCGAGTGCTCGATATCCAGCACATTAACGATTGTGTTGGGCAAAAAGCTGTTATCCCATTCGAAGACTTCATGGAAATCAAGAAGAATCGCGCTCACATTGATAGGTTCATTTGCTATTTTTCGAGCCCGCAGCCGTGTTATGTGGACGAAGAGCATTTGAAGAAGTTGAGATCGTTAGGAATTTCGATGGGGAAATTGGAGAATGCTTGGAAGAATGAGGATACTAAGAAACCGAGTACAAAAACGATCAAGGATGTGGGAGAGAAGTTTGCTTCGGATGACGATGTTATTGCAATAGGGGACGTCTTTTTTGCGGGCGTGGAAACAGATTGGGTGGCGCAACCAGGTGGTCCGATTGCGCATAAATGTAAGACTTTGATTGAGCCTAGTAAGCTTATCTTGTTGACTGCTCAACGGTTTATTCAAACGTTCTTGGGAAGTGATTTTATTGCTCTTCATTTTCGCCGACATGGATTCTTGAAGTTCTGGTATGGTTTCAATTTTTTTGTGATTTATTATTTTAAACAATGGAATTTGTGTAGCAAAGTTAGAATCTTTACTTTTAAGTCATAAAGTTATCGTAGAGAACAAAAGTCTAAGGTTAAAACGATGACATTATCTTTATTTTGCTTTGATTTAGTGTTGTTTGGTTGAGTATGTCAACTTTATCTGTTTTAGTTGAGCATATGCATAGTTCTGAGAACGGAATCAATAGGCTTTGATTTCAAAGTGTTTGGAATTTACTAGCATGAAAGGGTGCCCAGTCCATAGTTCTTTGAGAGTTTCATGTATTCGAGTCTTACATGATTACAAATGATGTGGAGTGCTGGAATTGCATATAGACTCCCATCCTACCATAGAGGACTTGTCTTAACAAATGGGTTTTGGCCATTGCCATTAAATGTTGGTTTCTTGTCATTTTGGGTCTGTCTGTATGGCCTTATGCTTTGAGAGTGGGGTTTGTGTAAAATGGCACTAACATTACTTGCTTATTTCCTCAGCAATGTTAAAAACCCAAGTTGCTTTTACCCTATTCCTCAAGCTGCGGATTGCATCACTAGAATGGTTGAAAGGGCCAACACTCCAATTATATACCTTTCAACAGATGCAGCAGAAAGCGAAACTGGTTTGCTACAATCGATGGTTGTGCTGAATGGGAAAACTATACCACTGGTTAAACGGCCTCCTCGCAGTTCAGCTGAAAAATGGGATTCCTTGTTATACAGACATGGCATCGAGGATGACCCTCAGGTGAGATTTTATACTACTTTAGTGTTACGAGGAAGAACAAATAAAACTTTGTTTTGTTTTTCGAATAATGAATAATCCTGTTTTCTATTCAAAGGTTAGAATTGTCTACATGACCAGGGCTTGTCTTCTCACTATTCAAGCCCTCAATCCTGATAAGTTTAGGATTTTCTAGAGTACAAGTCCAAACTGTTGAAAAATAAAGGTTGACTTATCATTTAGCTTGTCAAGTTGTAAGGCTTGTTTTCCCATCACAAGTTCACCCTGCTTTTTTTGTCACATAGTGCTAGGTCTATGTATTAGGTGCTATGAATGATTGGATCCTATGTGTTAAATCCATCGAATGAACAATGTTGTCAAGGTGTGCACTTTGGCATGCCTATGCATTGCGCCTTTGCGGTAGACAGAAAAAGTTCCTTACAACCTTTCAGGCGAGTGAGCCTTTTGATTAGGCACATGGCTGATGCCTTTAGGTAGTCTTTTTAGCTTGTTTGATTGAAGTTCTCTTTAAGTTCTTTAATTTTTAACTTTTTTCATAATGTGTGCCTTACTAGTAATAAAGAGGATAGTATCAAACTCTCTACTTCTCAATATTCGAGTTTTCATGCATATCAACCAACAAAAGGAAAATTCCATGTTTGTAGGTAAAACTGGCTACTCTTTTGAGCTTATCATACACACGTGTCCTTTTTCAAGTTCTACCTTGTGATAATCAACCTATGCTTGGTTCTGAGAGCACAACTGAGCTTCAGAAGTATTTGATTCACTTATTATTCTGTACAGATTGAAGGGTTGTGTATCCATGATCAGCCTCCCCGACTTCATTTTAACCTCCAGTATCCCTATCATTATTATTTTGCTAGGATCATTCTAAATTTGCTCTTAATTGATATTTTAAAGGTGGAAGCTATGCTGGATAAGACCATATGTGCTATGGCGAGTGTGTTCATTGGAGCCCCAGGTTCAACATTTACGGAGGACATTTTGCGACTCCGAAGGGGCTGGGGAACAGCATCTTTATGTGACGAGTACTTGTGCCAAGGTGAAGTGCCAAACTTTATAGCAGGTGAGGAGTGAAGAATATGCAGAAATGGCAGGCAGTAAAATTGTGACATTTTAAAGATGCTCCGTTGGAGAAAATGGTAGGTTCGGTATGATTGTATTATACGAGCATTTCATTGATTTGATTACTTATTAGTTTTACAACATTCTCACACCGTAATGGAGTTTGTATGATGCGATACACTTTGGGGCTGAAACCCTGAACTTGAATTCATTTATTCTGTTTGTAAATCAGTTGACAAAAAAAAAAACATTAGGGCCTACATTGGTTTGATTCGATCTGTCAGAACCGTAAATTCTATATAAAACCTAAAACTCAAGCTTTGTTATATAAAAGGTTTTAAATGCACCATTGCCCCCTTAAATTATACACTTTTTATCGAGTTGTCCCTTAAAGAATTTGCCAGGATATTTTGCCTCCTAAGTTTAAATTATTATCTCTATTAAAATTTGAGGGTAAATTGTATATTTAGTCATTAAACTATTCATGTGGTTCTGTTTTGGTCACCCCAACTATATTTTTCTCAAAATCATCACTAAATTTAAGTTTTTTAAAATTTAATTTTAGCGATGATTTAAAAAAATAATTGAGTGATCAAAATAGGATTATGAAAATGGTTGAGTGGTTAAATATGTAATTTATCCTTGTTGTTTTTAATCGAATTAACAGTTTGGGTTTGGGGTAAACAAGGTAACAATTAAAATTTAGGGGACAAATATCTCGAAAAAATACTTAAGAGGCAACTCCGTACAGATAGGATAATGGTACATTTAAGCCTATATCAAACCATTAAGTAAAATAAAAGGTAAACTATATAAATACTCATTCTTGTTTGAGTAAAATTTTCCTTTTCTCATATGTTTTAAAACTATCGATTGGTTAACAATGTTGTCAATTCATAACAAATTGATCATTTGACTTTAAAAATTATTATTTTACTCTCTTTTTTTCGTTTATAACAAATCAATCATTTATGTTTTAAATTGTTGTATTAGTTTATAAAAAATTCATCACTATATATAGGCCCCGGGGCCACTCCCTCCCTCAAATATTTTTACCATTGAAAAATAGGGATAATTATCAATTTAGACCTTTAAATTTTTATTTATTTTGACTTTGCCATCATTTTCTAATTTTAATTATACTTTATCCCTAAACTAAAATCCTAACTCGTCCCTGATCACTATTGTGTAAAATCAATATCGTAAGGCGTAAGGTTGACTCGTCAATGACAACGGACGATTACATTATTATGAAAGGACACATGGTTAAATTGGAAGAGGCTGCAGACTTTCTAGGGAGCATAAAAACAATGCATGTGATAAATCACCAGACACTTACATACGATGAGTCATTACACTTTCTTTTTGAGAACATTGTGTTGGTATGTAAACTAGAGGGACTTAACGTGGTTTCTTACTCGAAAATAAATTGACAAACGAGATAAAGGTCATCTTCACATGCGTTTTCCAGAAATTGTTCGTCGTTACGCCGCTTACGTTTACAGAAACATATCTATACTCTACCGTTGATATCACAATCGATTTTTACCAAGGAGACCATACAGATGATGGAGTTCTAGGGATGTTGGTTCACACATTTTCTATTCTAAGTGGGAGGTTTCATTTGAATGCGACAATAACTAGGTCATTTTTAGTGATATCACGAGGTCGAATGTTGTCTTCAGCTATAGATTTGAAGGTGGTCATTGTGGAGGGGAGAGGAAGCCAAGTAAAGCTCTCTTGTGTGGAAAAAAAAATTGCTAGGTTATTCGGTTAACACATCAATCAGTATTCCGTTACTGTGGCTGTTAACGACGAATGATCGATTTGTTATAAATTGATACATTAGTGATCGAATCATTAATTTTAAAACATTAGTTGGGAAAACAAAAAGAGAAAATAACCTCAGTGACCAAAAATCCCATATAATATACGATTTTAACCAACTTTTTCCGGATTTGCCAAAATGACCAACAAAATCGTAATGCGATCGCTAATTCGCAACGCGATCTCCATTATCGCAAATCAGTTTCCAGATTCGCAACGCGATTATGACTATCGCAATGCGATTTTCCAATTTTGCGTTGCGATTTTCCCAATTCGCAATGCGAATAAGTAAATCGCAATGCGAATTTGGAAAATCGCAATGCGATACTGACTATCGCAACGCGATAATACAAAATCGCAATGCGATACTGACTTTCGCAACGCGATACTGACTTTCGCAACGCGATTCTGACTTTCGCAACGAGATTCTAACTATCGCAACGAGATAATACAGAATCGCAATGCGATTTTCAAAGTTCGCAACAGGTTTTAGTTTCGCAACACAAATTTTTTGTGTATATATCTACGCAGCAGCAACAACTCATAACCTAAATCCCTAAATCGCAACTCATTCCATCTCCATCTATCACTCTCTCCGGCGACATCCGTTCCTATATCCGTTCCTATATCCTTCCCCATCCGACAACATGTCTTAGTTTCGCAGCTCTTTTGTTTAGTAAATTAATTTACAACCATGAAATCATCTAATGTTGATCATGTTTGGATAGATTTGTGTTTTGAAGGGTCATGGGAGAATGTTCATGGTGTTTTACAATATATGCCTTTACCCATGAATCTTCAACTAAAACTGTCATTAAAAAAGTTAACTTATGAAACTCTAATGTTACGTGTTTCAAAGAAATTGAATTTAGAGCCCCTAAGTGGATTTAGGCTATCTTATCAGAGAAATTGTAAAGTTTATTTGTTAACCGACAATGAAGATGTTGAACGATTCATTGCTTACATTAGTGTTTCAAGTGATGATGTTACATTGTATGTTGTTGAACCTAGAAGTAGTATTGTTGGGTCAGTAGCGGGTAGTAATCAACTAAGTTTTTCTCAAAACCCACAACCTTTCTCTAATCCAAATCCCAATCAACTTTCAGCACCAAATTCCGGTTTTCGTATTGACCAATTAGACGATGATGAGCCAACAGAAAAAATTGTGAGTACTAGTCAGTATTCGAAATTTGATCTTGGTCAATACCCGGACTTTGATATTGGTCAATACTCAGATTTTGATGATGTTTCAGAAGAAGAAACAGACCCTGCGTGTAATGATTTTGATATTGGTCAATACCCGAATTTTGATGATGAAACAGCCGTTACCGAGGAAGATGTTGTTGATGATAATGAGGAGGAAGTTATGACTGTGAATGAACATGTTGAACATCCATTCTGTAATTCATATAATCCTGAATAAGAAAAAGAAGAAGAAAAAGTCCCCGAAGAAAAGAAAATGCCACGGGAGTATAACTGTAATATGCCAGAATTACTTCAGATACCGAAAGAAGAGTTGGTAAAGAAAACAGTTGATTGTTACACAAAAGTTATTCGTATCAAGAAAGATGATTTTTTTGATACAAAGGAAGACTTGAAGATAGCTTTGTATACGAAATGTGTGGAAGATGGCTATCAACTAAAAGTTAACAAATCAAGCAAAGATCGTTTCGAAACAAGGTGTATGATTGACAAAAACTGTACGTGGTGTATGATTGCAAAGAGGATAAAAGATTGCGAAATGTTTCAAGTTAGGACTTTTATTGATAAACATACATGTTCAAGAACCCAAGTTTTTCCTCACCATAGACAGGCAAACAAAAAGGTGTTGGGTGGTTTTCTGGCTGAGTTAATGTTTTTGAATGGCAGGGTATATCGGGGACATGAAATTATGACTGACATGAATGCTCGGTTCAAGATTAGTATATCATATTCTCAAGCTTGGAGAGCCAAATGTTATGCCTTGGAATTGTTGAGGGGGTCGCCAGAAGCATCGTTTGCCCAACTGACGGCTTATTGTCACAATTTAAAGCTGAAAAATCCTGGGTTGGTAACTCATATCAAAACAGATAGAGATGGACGCTTTGAGTTGTTGTTTATCGCCATTGGTGCTGCGGTTAGTAAATCAATATAATTCCGTTGACTCATTTTTGTTAGTTACATGCATTTCACATTTAAATGATTATATTTCTTGTGTATATTATTTTGTAGATTCGTTCGTTTATTACTTGCATGCGCCCAGTTATTATAGTTGACGGAGCACATTTGAAAGGTCGATACCTTGGAGTAAACTTATTAGCAGTAGCCATGGATGCTAACAATTGGATATTGCCAATAGCTTACGGGGTTGGCAAATATGAAACCTCTGATTCATGGACATGGTTTATGGGGAATCTTAGGGATTGCATAGGTCCTATTAGCAATCTGACAATCATATCCGATAGGCCAAACTCAATTGACAACGCTGTTAGAAGGTGTTTCCCAGATGCTTTTCATGGACTTTGTGGTGTTCATTTGTATAGAAATCTAAAATCAAGGTCTGCTGGTATAAAAAATCACAAATGGACATACTGGAAGGCTGTAAAAGCTTATCGGGAGTGGATTTTAATAAGCATATAAACTGTTTAAGACGTGTTTTGCCTCAGTGTGCTCAAACACTAGAAGATGTCGGGTTTGAAAGATGGTCAAGAGTACATCAACTTGGAGCAAGATATGGTTTCATGACGTCTAATAGTGCAGAATCAATCAACGCTCTAAGTCGTCATTCCCGGAAATTACCCATTACTATGTTAATGGAGTTTTTTCGAGCCTCTATTCAACAGTGGTACTACAAATCATCTTTTACAAATCAATTAAACAATCAAAAAATAAGCAATAATTCTTATTTCCTCATCTACTATTGAATCAACTTTTGCAGCCATACATCATTTTCACGCAGCTCACTTCTGAGATTAACCTGCAGAAACCAAACATTTGGTCAAACAACACTTTCTACACATCTAAAACCCACAAACAGCAAATTATTGAATTCTAGGTACTTAACCAAACATTTTCAAACCACAAGCCTATAAACTTACCAATTATTTATGGACATTTTTATAACACGGATGCAGGTAGGCAGCGTCTCGTATATATCGATCTAGTCATATAATGCCGAAACCACAAGCCTACTGCAGCTCTATCTCTATCGGTGGGAGGTAGATACTTTATACTTCCTGTGATCAAACGCTCCAACGCCAAGCATACGAGAGGACCACAATCCCCTCTGGGTCCTTTCGTTTGTTGTGGTGCGGTCTCGTCTCTGCTAACTGTAATATTGAGCTTCTTTGGCTTCTTGTTTCCAGAACGAGTCCAATAATTTATCGCATCCAAGAATTTAGCCAAATGAGAGCTCCATCCCTTAATAATATCTCTTAAATCAGCCAATGATATGTAATTTATCATGCTGCATATACTATTGCCTTAAGGGATGGGAGCTGAAGCTCGACGAGAAGCCAATGTTTACGTTCCAAAACAGTGATAAATACCTGCAATCATAAGTAATAATTCATTCATTTGCGCACTTATTTATGAATACCTTTAAACTCAATCTAAAATAAATACTAACCTTATCGACCTCCCACCATGCAGGATAAAGTTTAGCTTGTCCATTGCCCAACGCAAATGATTCATCTCGTTGATTCTTCAAGTGAACGGCGTTAAAAGACGTCGGCATAATTGTATATCGCGTATTTCTTTTATTTTCCTTAAGTTTCCTAATTATTAGAAGACGTGACACCCACGCATCGATATGCTGTTTTACAAAAAAAGACATATATTAGTAACTTACAAAAATTTAAAAAAAATAATCAAATTGAAATATTAAGAAAAATATAAGACTTACCCCTCCATCGAAATAGCCATTGTCTTCGACCCCTAATAATACGCCCCACCAAGACCGATCAAGCAACAAATAGATATCATCGTTGAGCTTGCATATGTCAGTGAAACACCCCTGGATCCGCTCATGTAGATAAAAATCAACTGTGGTCTTAGCCCAAAGGGTGTTATCCAGAATTGTGTCCGGTAGTTGTCTCCTCTCCACTTCAGATATCGGTATGGTACTGGTCGGTAACTCATACGAGAGCCAACTTGAATCCATCATGTCCGGTACGTCAGAGGGTTTCTCAAGAATCCTACATATGACGCCATGTGAATCGGGCTCTTGAATGGTGGGAGGGACCTCTTCAACGATGACAGTGGCCTTTTGAACGGTGGGAGGGGACTCTTGAGGAATGACAGTGGCCTCTTCTTGCGGTGTCTTCATACTATTGGGGTGTACGGAGACTTAATAGCACGTGCACGCCGTCTGATGCGTGAACTCTGTCGTGCAAGAAAAACCCGACGTAAAGCATCCACCTTACCGGTCCGCTAAATAATTAAATACAAATATCAGTAAATAAACAAACATGATACTTAAACAGTGAAAACAAAGACAAATATGTTTCAAACTTGCATTGAATTCACCCAAGTCATTATTCTATCATAGTTCACAAAATGCATCAGATAACAGAGGCAAATATGTTTCAAACTTGCAACACTGTCAACTTAGTATTTGTCTTTGTCTATTGGTTGAGGTAATGCAATTCATTCAAGTTTCAATTTGCAGAAGAAGAATAGTTTCTGGAACTTAAAATCGCAACGTGAAAAATGACTATCGCAACACGAAATGAAAATCGCAACGCGAAATGAAAATCGCAACGCGAAACCAAAAGACAAAACAGTGTTACTAAATTAGTTTCAAGAATAAACTATTTCTTCTTCTTCTGCAAATTGAAACTTGAATGGATTGCATTACTTCAACCAAAAGATAAAACAAAGACAAATACTAACTTCACAGTGTTAAAGAATACACAGTTTAGCAGAATTGGCAGCAACCGAACAAATTTACTTTCAACCAAAAGACAAAACAAAGACAAATACTAACTTCACAGTGTTAAAGAATACACAGTTTAGCAGAATTGGCAGCAACCGAATAAATTTACTTCAACCAAAAGACAAAACAAAAGACAAATACTAACTTCACAGTGTTAATAAACAGTTTAGCAGTATTGGCAGCAACCGAATAAATTTACTAAGCAATCTAAGTGAAATGGTTAATCTAAGTGAAATTACGAGTAAATTTATCATCAAGTTAAATATGGAAAATCTTAAACTTACCTCATTGCGTAGAGTATGAACCTCATTCTGCAACGATACTACCATCTCACGTAGAGCGGCAACCTCACCACGTAAAGTAGACACCTTCACACGCCATGCACCATCGTTATCGCGTAGAGTACAGATCTCCTCATGCAACGCATTGACCTCATCACGTAACTCCCTTGACTCATCCCGTGTAGGTGGAGGTGGAGAACAGGGAGATAGAAGTTGTGGCATCTTTGTCGGTCGCCTATCATGAGGTGATGGTGGAGAAGAGGCTCGATGATGTGACGGGATAGGTGATGGCTCTCGTTGTAGAGGTGTATAGTCGGGTCGATCAGGTGATGGCTCTGGGTGAGGTGATGGCTCTCGAAGTGGAGGAAGTGGAGGCTGCTCATCATTCGTGCCATCAAGAAAATGCTGACTAGCTTGCCACCAATCAGTGGCAAGCTCAGTCTCATTAATGGAGTGTTGGCCTCCTAAAAATATAAAAACTCAAACAAAGTTAAACGTCTACTATTAATAACTTGTTTATAAATGATAGTATTTGTGTTAACTTACATTATTTATTGTCGTATATGGTATTAAGTCTTCCCAATCCAAACAGACATTTCCTCTTCCAGGAAATAGCCCTAGGAATATCATTTGAGGTTTTTAATGCATATGTCCGCATGCTGGGGAAAGCCTCGAATATCCAAATCTACAAACAATATAATAACAAACATTAGTAATTGTTAAATAATTAATTATAATTTTGAAAACATTATATAGAAATTCTTACCTTAAAGGCCCAAACAAAGCCTGACAAAGTGTATTTCGACCCATCGCCCCGCAAACTTTTGCGGTCATCAAAGGCAGACGACAACTTAGTCCAGGTAGCTTTCCATATATACGAACCCCACGGAAACAGATTCCATGCATTTAGGTCATCTACCAATAATATTAGCTCTTGAGGAATAGGTTGTCTGGCCTCTCTGCCTAAAAAGCCGGCATACAAAAGTAGTAGAAGGCATACTCGGACAACATCGACGTCATTCATCCGAGTAAAACCATCTTTCTTATTAAACAATTTCTTCAGGTCGTCGACGTGTAAGTTCGGATTCTCTATTGACTCATCAGGAAAAACCCTGGATAACCATGATGGGCGGGTGATATGACGAGTGTACCGGCCTACATCATCGTGTCCGAATCGTAGACCAGTGATTAAGCAGAACTCCTTCCGCCCAAAACAAGTATACGCCGGTGGAAAATGAAACCATATCTCTTCCTCACCACGTTGTATACTGTCGGGTAGATCGCTAGTCATGGTCTGAAGCCATAAATGGGTCAAATTAGCATCTCCACCCAGATGCTGTACTCTCAGTCATGGCCCAAAGCAGGTTTCCTCAAACAATTTTCTTTGTGCAGGTGAAAGCTTCGAAGCAATTGTAGTGACTAAGCTAACTTTATTCCTTAATGTCAATGAAGCCGAAAAAAATTTCTACAAAAACAATAAACATACCAAGTTAGATATACCAAAAACTACACTGTGAAGATATACCAAAAATAATAAACATAAATAGTAGTTTATTCTTGAAACTAAAATTTGCAACACTGTTTTGTCTTTTGGTTGAAATGAAAATCGCAACGAGATAATGAAAATCGCAACGCGGAAATGACTATCGCAACGAGAGAATCGCAACGCGAAATGACTATCGCAACGCGAAATGAAAATCGTAACGAGAGAATCGCAACGCGAAATGAAAATCGCAATGTGATTTTGGTTTCGCGTTGCGATTATCTCGTTGCGATTTTCATTTCGCGTTGCGATTCTCTCGTTGCGATAGTCATTTCCACGTTGCGATTTTCATTCTCGAAACTATTCTTCTTCTGCATTACTTCAACCAAAAGACAAAACAAAGACAAATACTAACTTCACAGGGTTAAATACTAAACAGTTTAGCAGTATTGGCAGCAATCGAATGAATTTAATAAGAAATCTAAGTGAAATGGTTAATCGAATATTGAAATTACTAGTAAACTTATCATCAATTTCAATATGAAAAACCTAAAATAATGCAAAATTTTCAAAATAAAAATAATTAAAAAAACTAACCATCGGAGGTTGATTTTCAATTTCTGAATGATTGTGAGGGATTTCTGACCGTGAATGGTTGTGAGGGATTTCGCCGGCGATGGGGACGAAAATCTTCGGAGATGGGGACGGATTTTGCCGTAGAGAGTGAGAGATGGAGATGAGACTGAGTGTTGTGATTTTAGGTTTGAGGTTATGAGTTGCGATTACTGTGGACGGTTCAGTTTCCGATATATTAAGAAAAAATTCATGTTTGGAATTTGAAAAAAAAAATACGCGTTAATACGAATGGCGCTATGTAAATCGCATTGCGATAGTCAGATTCGCATTGCGATTTACGTATTCGCATTGCGAATTAGGAAAATTGCATTGCGATAGTCAGTATCGCATTGCGATGTTCCAAATTCGTATTGCGATTTACTTATTCGCATTGCGAATTGTGAAAAACGCAACGCGAAATTGGAAAATCGCATTGCGATAGTCATAATCGCGTTGCGAATCTGGAAACTGATTTGCGATAATGGAGATCGCGTTGTGAATTAGCGATCGCATTACGATTTTGTTGGTCATTTTGGCAAATCACGAAAAAGTTGGTTAAAATGTATATTATATGGGATTTTTGGTCACTGAGGTTATTTTCTCAAACAAAAATGAATGTCCCTTTTTCCCATATATATGGGGTAAGGAGAGGTAAGATAGTAGGCTACCCCCAACACCAGGTTGAGAGCAACTTCCGTAAGAGACCTCCGAATTATGAAATGTCCTCCGTGAGACTCGATCGCACGACCTAAAGGTTAAGAACCTTATGCTCTACCAACTGAGCTGGATGGTCATTTCAGTTGGGAAAACAAATATTTACTCAAATATGAGTGACCAGTAAATGTAGTTTACCCAATAATTTCACCTGTGCGAACTGAAACGGCCGCTTTTCATTTACTATAAGTTCACAAGCGCGCCGCCTCCTCTCTGTTTCTTTTTCTTTAAGTCTCCGTCTTCTCTTCTCTAAGCAATCACCATCTCAAAGTACTCGTCTCGTTTAAACGTTTCACTGAACCGAACTTGTCGGCCGCCTCTTTATTCCTTTACAATCAAAACCAACTTTTGTTTTCTTCTCAATTCTTGTAAAAAGGACTTTTTTCTTAACTTTGGAATGTACAGATCCCTTTCTGACCATCAACTTCAAATACCAATTTGAACCCACAAAGAATCAATACCAAAAGTAGTACTCCTCGCCATCACCATAAATTAATCTCCGTTTTTGTTATTCCTTTATAGTAAAGCGTACACACTTGATAATAGTACAACGGAAAAGTATCCTAATCATGAGAGCTAAATTGGTGGTGTTCCCAATTAAAGGGAAAAACTGGTGCTTTAGCAGATCCATTGACCCGGCTCCATCAGAATTCTCCTCTGCTAACACACCTTCCACTGTTAAAGAGCTTTACAAGAAGATTTCATCCAATTCCAAGCCCCTCAGTGCCAATGCTGAGCTTCTTATCGATTTCGTTTCCAACAAGGTAAGCCCTCTTGTTTTGTTATCCTTTATTTCTATGTTTTAAACGTTAAACGCCCCACTTTTTGCTTTTTTATTTCATGCTTTCAGTAACTTCAATGTGTATTTGAATACTATGTTACTCGGTTTTTGGTTAGGTGATGGTTGTTGTTATAGATGAATAAGTCTTTGATGGGATTGGAAAAGGCGCCTGAAGGCAGTTTCAAAAACAAGCTACATGGGTATTACTTGAAAGTCAAATATGTTTGGTTTTAGTTTCTGCTGATTCTTCTTCTATTTTTGGATTTAGAATCAGCAGAAATCTGGTGTTGGATTATTTGGCTTTAGTTTCTGCTGATTCTTCTATTTTTTTCGGTTGAATGTATTTCCTAGGCTGGGGTTGCGGCTTTTAGCTCGTGTTACACCATCTGAGATTTTGCTGAAATCTATAACCAAGGAGGTTACTAATGTTCAGATTACATACCCCACCAGGTTCTATTCTTACCTTTTTCATTGCTGCATCTTCTGTTGTATATCTGCAATATACTTATATTTCTTAATCTTGCCAGTATTTATATTTAAATGTTCTCTAGGATCTATATTTAAGCCCCCCCCCCACCCAACACACACACACACACACACACATATCTTTTTGTTTTCTAGCTTCCATAGCATTATGGTAATGTATTAGAAGTGATTTTGTAGAATTTGGTTCAAACTAGAGTAGGTCCCTACCATGTTTACAGCTTACATATTGCTGCATAATTTCTTTCTTGTATTGTTCTTTTTGAATATTGAAAAATGAACAATACCAGGCATCCTTCTATGATTTATTTCTTTGTTGAAATCTATATGCATTTTCTGCTTCTTCTATGGAAAAATGAACAATGACATATTTTGGTCTTGTATCTGGGACTTTGCATAATTTGTGAGCTTGATGCACTAAATGGAATTTTGAATTATGTTGGTTATTTGCATGTCGAGGTGCTTTTAGACTCATGGTTTGTTCCTGATACTTCTAACTTTTTTTGGAGTTTAAATGCATTGCTTGTGCGGCGAAGATTACGACAAATAGCCTTGAGGTAATAGTTTTACCTCCTTTCTATTGCTTCTTAATTGCTAGAGATGAGAAGATATTTCTCATGTCCAAACAGGTTGTTTAACCATCAAAATGTAGGGATGCTTCATTGTTTTCTAGGTTTCTATATATTTCAGAATAATCATGATAATAGTGCCACTCGTCCTTCAACATGGTTAATGACATTTCTGAGCTTTGGCATTAAAGGAATTTAACACCAACAGAATAACTATAGATTTTGGAGTGTATCGTGTGCGTAATTTTATATTTATATGTTTCTTTATATTTGTACAAATTCCAGCAGTAAGCAATATCATCACTAAAATGTGTTTTTCAATTTTCAGGGGTACTGTTATACACAGAAAATACTTTTATGGTTCGGTTTCATTGCTTCCACTGACTACTGCATTTACTGTATGTATCTATTTTTAATTGATTCCATCATTTACTATATAGCCTCTTTTGTGTCTTGATTTTTTTTCATTTATATTTTGTCTCATTCTCACTCGATCTTCTTTTCTCACAGGTTCTGCCTCTGCCTAACATCCCATTCTTTTGGGTCTTGTTTCGCACTTATTCGCATTGGCAAGCTCTCCAGGTGGATTCAATGTTCTTAGAGTTAGATACTTTTGTGTGGTTTCAAAAGGACTGTCGTTGAGGAGTGTGTTTACATGGATAATATTTGAAATGAACAGTTTAGCATAACCTATTGTAAAAGCTGCTTCTTTATAGTAAAATTTAATTTTAGAAATTCGTGCCTATCTGTGATAAGAATACAAAATCTTTTTGCATCTTTTCACCTTGAGTCATAAATATTACAGTAATCTGCTTCAAACATGATTTTATTCGCAAGGTTACTTCTTTTCACGTGTTTCCTTGTCACTGCTTTCTATCATCACCTCTTTATATGTCTACGATATGTGCATCTTTCATCTTTCGCTTTCTACTTCTCTTAGGTTCGGCTGCATGCATGTTGTTTCTTGCTTGAGGAACTGAGGTCTGTTCTGCTTCTTGCTGAATCGGCGGAAAGAATCAGATGGTCGGTAGACAGTAGTTAGTTTTTAAGCAATGGAGCATTGGGGTTCTGTTATGTGGATCCCTTAGTTTTGGTGTCATTGTTGATCGTGATCACTAATTTTGAACTGTCACTTTCAAAAGTATCAGTATTCAGTCACGGGTGTTTGTCTATGTTTGATTTTGCAGGGAAGTGAGAAGCTCCTTCAGCTAGTCTCAGATCACTCCCAAGATCAAAACTCAATTGTTTCAAATGGGAAGGAACCTGAGCATAAAGACTCGGAATGTGGAACTAAGAATTTACCAAATTTCAAATGGGTAAGCTCATGTGCTAATCTGAATTATGGAGTGGACATAACAGGATTATATGATGTTACTTTGTTTATGTTTCGCGTCGTTGTTCTTGCACTTCTGTTAGCTCTATTACCTCTGACACCGAGTATGTTCTGTTTAGGTTTTCCATTTTACTTGTCATCATTTTTTAGTGTTAATAATGATATTTTTTGTTAATTGGTGTTTAGCTAAGTAAATTTGATAAATAATTAGATATTAACTTGGTTATCATGTTCAGTGCTGCATCTTTACAAAGATTTCTCAGTAGCAGCCATTCTTTTATATCAAAAGAATGTCAAAAGTTCATTCTTTTATTCGTTGTCAATCTCATTTACTCAACGATCCTTGAACGGTTTAGCTTGTAATTCTTCTTGGCGATGCATAGCTTTAAGAGCAATGCCAATAACATAGCCTTGATGCTAATCATTTTCGTTTAAATGTTATATTTTCATTATCGATACAATGGACCAGGTGTTGGAACCATCAAATGAGTTGGAGGACCTTATTAACCGGGGACATGAAGATGGTTATCTTAGTGAACAAGTTATCTCAGATATATGCAATTGTTTTAGTTTGAACAAGAACGATGTTTTGAAGTGCAGAGATTTGGTGTAATCGACATTTTTTTCCTGTCGTCTATAGAGGCTGTGACAACAATATGATGAAGATATACATGCACTTACTGTTGTACATAGCGTTAATTCCTTTATGTTTTACGGATTATTTTTTCGGAGATAGGAAGGATATAAATAAGGATCTAGCATGTTACTTTTGAATACCGAGGAAGATGATTCAGAAATAGTGTGCATAATTAGGTAGTTTTAGCCAATCGAGTACTGATTCAGTTGGGCATTGTTGTTGTTATAGACTCTTTGTGGTCACATAATGTTGTCCAGTGAATGCAATTATATCTTTGAAAAGGAAATATTTGTGGTACTTCCTGTTCTGATTGTAAATAGAACATTAAAGTTTAACATATACACAACGGTGAAAGAATTTAAACTGGTGGGGTTGGACTACATTGCAACATATTACAAAGTGCTGGCCTGATTTGAAACTGAAGCTAAAGTTTGGGGAGGTGTATTTTATTAGCTACCATAAAACAATAGCATTCGACATGGTTATGATATCTCGAGTCCTCATCACTAAAACAGTCAACCGCCTACTGCATATCCCTTGAAGACATGTAGTCCTGTGTTTCATCAGCCACTGCTTTATCTGTTCTTCGAGATGCACCTTGATCCGACCCTTTTGTTCTCTTACTCATGTTAGCTCGTTGTACTAGTCGAACCAATGCTTGAACTACTTCTGACATTGGAGGTCGAAACTCGGGCTCTGGCTGTCCCAGCAGAATGATGACAAAAGATCAGTTAAATGCTACATCAATCCATATTTGTAAGAATAAGTTCATGTTTGGGGTTTATCCGATTCATCGAAGATGTAATGTAGATGAAACAAGAAAAAGGACAATGTGTGTCTGCTTTTTTCAACCACATTACCTGGACAGAAAGGGCGATCACGTCTGCAAACCTAGAGAGAGATTTAACCGGGTAAAGCCCGTTAAGTGCAGGGTCAACCATCTTTGATAGAGCATCGATATCATGCAGCTGAGGTGTTGCCCATCGAACCAAAGATTGCTCTAGTCTTGGCCTTGTGCTGTTAAAACACTTGCATATACTAATTAGAAATGTGGTGAACTAAGTGGGATGCTAGTACATCGAACGATGGAGTACCGAATGCTTCATGGATGATTCCTTACCTATCAAATGGCTTACGTCCGGTGAGAAGTTCCAACATAACCACTCCGAAACTGTAAACGTCACTCTTAAGAGAGTACTGACCAGACATTGTAACTTCAGGTGCACCGTATCCCAACATAGTAACATCATCACGAAAATTTACCTGATCTGCATTTGGAATAAAAGTTGCCAAGCCCGAGTCTGAGAGGTGAGGATTGAGTTCAACATCGAGTAAGATGTTTGCCGACTTGATGTTTTTATGAACAACAGACGGCGAGCAACCTTCATGCAAGTACCTGAAAAAAAAACATGCCATTGTTGCATTATCAAAATATCAACTTAGTGGGAGTCCACTTTAGCTGTTTATAAGGGGAAAAGGAGAGAAACAGGATGAACTGCAAATCCTTCTGTTTGCTGTGCTGATATAAAAATGAGATGAAAAAATAGATATTGCTGCCCATAATCGAATTATCAACTTACTCTAATGCGCGTGCAGTCCCCAGAGCGATTTTGACACGGGAATTCCAAATCAAAGGCTTGCTGTCTTCATCTGATAGATGCAGGAAGTCATGAAGTGAGCCATTTTTGTGGAACTCATAGACAAGTAGGTGCTGTCCATGCTCTGAACAATAGCCAACCAGCTCTGTGACATTTGTATGATTCAACTCGGAGATGTTCGAAACCATCTCTATAAAATTGTCGGCCATTTCACTGGGAAGAGCTGATGAATCTATTTTCTTCACCGCAAGAACCTATGGCAGTATGAACACAAGGTACAAGCCGGGTGAGTACTGAGTAGAAAATTCTTAAAAAACACTTAAGGCAAGTAAATGACAAACTATCTGCGTAAAATTATGGAGATTCACACCTTGCCGTCATCAAATTGAGCTCGATAAACACGGCCAAAAGATCCTTCGCCAAGAAGATTTTCAATGCTGAAACTGCCTGTAGCCATCTGGAGGTCTGCTATTGAATATGATGCAACAGTTTTATGAACTGGGACAGCTTTCTTAACAACAATGGGCTTTTTAGAAAAATCTTCTTCATCAAACGATTTGTGGCAGACAATGGGTGGGGGATGAAGGTTTATCGAAGCAGTTGTTTCAAAAGTTTCGGTCTCGACTGAAGAGGAAGGCTGTATGGAGCTCATTTCTGCAATACATTTTAAGCATGAGAAAAAAAGACAATTAGTTTGATCAAGAGAGCAAACCGTAAAGATAGAATTATGGTGACGTTAAAACGGCGACCATGCAGAGTTGCAGATCGACTATGTGTGTTACCTTGCACTTCATTAGAAGGAAGAGGAGAAAAGGGTTGATCATCAAGGCTTTCAATATCTGAGGATGGCCTCCTGGATCTTCTCTTCACCAGAAAGAATGTCACAATTGCCCCAACAATAAGGATAGATATTACTATTCCTGCTATGCCTCCACCCCCGATCCCTAATTTGTTGCCCCCACCACTAGAACCACCATCCGATGGGGAACTACTGCCACCGGATTTGTGATTTCTATTGTTTTTAGTGGCAGGAGAAGTACCAGGTGGAGGTGGAGGTGCAGGCCCCGAGCTCCATGAATTACCGTTTTTCCTATAACGAAGATTATTCATATCGAAACTGCAAATAACTTCAATACAAAATAAAAGTCACAGCATTTGATAATGTAGTGAAATGCTTACTGCAAATCGATGATTTTCAATTGATCCGGTATCCAGCCGGAAAAATGGTTATTGGAGATATACCTGTGAAACATAGAAACAACTATCACAAGGGTCAAGATTACAGGGTCATTTACACTATAAGCAAACAAAAGACGGATATACTACAAGTTACATACAGAGTGTCAAGGGGAAGATTGGCAAGGATAATGATAGTGCCCGTAAACTGGTTGCTCTGTAAGTACCTGCAAAAGGGAAAAGTATATAATTATGGAAATCCGCCATACACATTTGTTCCGGAAAACATATTTCCTATTAATACTTACATGGTGTTCATACTGGTAAGATTCTTAAAACTCACGGGGAGATCGCCGGTCAGAGAATTGAAAGAAAGATCCCTGAAGCAAGGAGTAAACATAACAGGCATTTATGAAAAACAACATATTCTCAATGGTGGTAGTAAGAACAGCTTACAACGTGGAGAGGGAAGAAAGTGGTCCAAACATGTCACCCAATTGGTTCTGCAACTGGTTATGTCCAAAATTTCTGTATTACCAGGAGTCAATGTCTACAGACCTCGTGTCGGAAATTGAAAATTCGGAACATTACTTACAGGTATTGTAGAGAATGCATCTGATTGATGGAATAAGGGACACTTCCAGTAAAATGATTAAATGCAAGATTTCTGCAGACAAATTAACATTATGTTATACAAAATCCTTAAAAAACGGAAACAGTAGACTCAGGAAAGGAAACAAGCGCACGTTTCAAAACATACAATCGTTGCAAGTTCAGAGGAATGTTATACGGTATATCGCCTGTGAGATTGTTATTGCTCAAGTCCCTGCAGATTTGTTCAAATATCAGTATAAAGATAACCAGATAAATGTACGAAAAGAAAATCAATCCACTCTTGGAGATTAGTTTTCCTACAGTTCCTTCAATGATGTCAAACTTTGAAGGCTGTAACCCATTGATCCAGAAAGTCCGAGACTAGACAGTTTACTGAAAAAAAGACCAAATAAAAGAATGTACTATAGTTAGCATCAGCTGGTATAGGACAAGACATATCGAAGGAAAATCGGAAACGAAAAAATTACATCTCGGTGACACGTTGGTCCGAGCAAGTAACACCTTTCCAGGACTGTCCACAAGGATCGCCATTGTTTGCGGTCCATCCAGTTAGCTGTGGAGGTGAATTTAAACTGCTGAACATTACCCCTAAGGCAGAAGCTGCACATCCAACATCCCACAGGCAAGATGAGTAAGCCGAGGAAAGAAGTTTTAATCACAAATCTTAACTTCTTCTACTTTTCTATTCGAAACATTCATCAAAACCGATTCATCGGAATCACTCGCAGTACTGGTGTTCTTCCATGCACGCCATGTATGGTTAGCAAATTTATCTTCCTATTATATATATAAATATATATGTCTACCCCTCCTTCAAGTGATTAATGAGTAAAATGGATGGTCAGAAATTTAGCCAAAAAATACTGGAACCCCACCAAAACAGGGAAATCTTAAGACTAAATCTCAGTTTCAAGGGTTCATATTTCTTTTCAGAACAGAGAAAAAGCATGGTGGGTCATGGATGCATTGTTGCCAGAGAAAAGAAGTGCTATTGGGGAGAAAGATATAACCTTTTTCCAGTCAGCAGCAATTCACAGAAGTGTCAGACAGTTATGCATTTGTGCATAAATACAAATCATAGAAAACTATGAATTGAAATGATAAGCACATATATTTTATATTGATAATATGATTTAATTTTGACCTTCTAAAATTTTATAATAAAATTTCCTCCTAACGTAAAACTATGCATCCATGACATACATTTACAAGTGAAATATTAAACTTCTCAATCTTATCTCCATAATCTACAAGAACCCACCTTTGAAAAGAAAGGTGAAACTTTATAGACAATAAACAACACTGACAAAGTATTTTTAAGAAAAAAGCAACGCAATCAAGGAAGTTCATTTCAAGCCACAAGCAGCTCAAAGCAGATAACAAGAAGAGACCCAACCAGAAAGTAACACCAAAGATCACAAATAAGGCAAAAAAAAGAAGCAAAGTAACACCAACCATCTCCTTGATCTGTTGCAGCATTTGAACATGGTGGCTTAAAACCCAAAATGCAGAGTTCTGTGAACAGCACCAAAACCAAACTTCTCCAATTCTTCTTCATCTCTCTCCAAACTGGTTACTTCCCACAAACCAGAACTGATTTTGGGTCTATACTTATTCTTTAAAAATGTGATACTAAATATTTTTTTCTTTCTCTTAATTATACAAAATTTATACCTTTTAACCACTAAACTAAGTAAAAGCTGACTTACCATAAGAATCCAAAACCACGGAAATGCTGATATTTTAACATTGTCATTAATTCTTTTTAGTTTTTGGTCTATCTTTTTGTTTTTTGACAAAGTATTTATCTGTTCATAATTTTCGCGGTCTTTCGGTTTTGTTAGTAAATTTCGGTATATTTATTAGTAAAAAAGGAAAAGAAATCTGGGTATAGATTCTTAAATGATTACAGTGATCATGAGTAGAATGATTATGACATTTTGGATTGTGCGAGTGGCAATGTACTGTCACTGTCAGAAGCCAAAATTGGTTGATTTTGTACCCTACCTCCCTTTCATGGGAGGTTCGACACCTTAATATAAACATAAAATAATGTGTTATCGATTTTATTATTATTTAAATAATAAAATTGGTAAAAAAATTTATTTAAAAATTTATTATTTTTTTATCTAAAATATTAATTTTTTAACATTTTCGGTAAAAGTGTTCAATAATAACAAAATCGGTAGAAAAAATAACAAAACGGTAGCGCTTTACCAAATCCGGTAAAGTGCCCAATAATAACAAAACCGATAGAAATAATAATGTTTCCGATAATTTTTACCGGTTTTGTTATTTAAATAATAACAAAACGGTAACGCATTTTTTTAGTCGTATATTAAGGTTGTCGCACGTGAGCATTTCCCCCTTTCATTTGTTTTTTTCGACAGTATTATATTTTTTAGATTTAATTGTATAATATTAGGGATGTAAAAAGTTGAACCAATCTTTAAAATTGATTGAAATCGATTTGAGTTAAAATTGTTTGTGACATGAGGTAATGGTCATTCGAAATCGATTCGAGTTCGAACTAGTGTTGACCTGAACCCGAGTTGGACCTGAAAATTACGAATCTGAACCTAACCTGTACTCGATCTACGAACGATCAAAACATGAATTGAACCGATAATATGATAACCAAACCTGACCTACATCCGACTGATATGAACCTAAACTAGAAATTAATCTGGTAAATAACTGATATTACCCGACCTGTAATGAACATGACCTATTATAAATCTGACATGTAATTTACTCAACCTATTATGAACCTTGAACCTGTCCTCCACAGACTCCAATTTATCTAGGTGGGACTCCATAACACCATGGGTCTCCTTGGCCTCTTCCTCGGTTTTTTCAAGTCTTATGACCCTCATTTCCCACGAAGTTGAGATCTCCTTTAACTTGATGAGCCTCTCTGCGTGCAAAGCAAAACCTTCCATCAAATAAGTCTATCTCTCGTCTATTGTCAGTTCCTCTTCTTGCTCTCTATTAAGACTCTCATCGTCTTCATGAGTGAACGCACTGTCTCGCTTGAACATGCCTTGAGCTCCACTTTTAAGAATCTCAACCTCGAGATCCAGCTTCTCTTGGTGTGCTTTTCTCGCCTCAAGGATTTCTTGCGAACTCATCATGAAATCCTCATGTTTGGATACCCATGATGCTCTCGATGAAGTTTTTAATAATTATAATTTTTATTATTTTTACTTTTATATTTTAAAAATAAATTATGACATATATAAATACATATATAGATACATACATATATGTGTGTATATATATATATATTATATAGTTATATACATTTATGTACATACATCATACACATTTACATACATCATTGATCATACATAATTACATATATACTTAATTACTTGTATATATACTTATATGTATATATATATATACACTTATATATATTTACGTGCATACATCATGCGCTTATATATATATATATATATATATAAACAGAATGTTTAGCGAACCGTTCGGCGGGAAGTTTGTTTATGTTATTTTATTTATAAACGAACAAATATGAACAAGATTTTATATTCGTTTAACTAAATGATCGAACACAAACAAAAGTCTCGTTCGTTCATTTACGTTTGTGAACGTTCGATAATCTGTTCATTTACGTTTGTGAACGTTCGATAATCTGTTCATTTACGTTTGTGAACGTTCGATAATCCGTTCATTTATGTTCATTTATTTATGTTCGTTTATGTTCGTTCATTTATGTCTATGTATGTTCGTTTATATTCAGCTCAATCACCATACTCATTTAAAATATTAAGATTCAATCATTAATATTTTAAAACCCAAATAATTTTAAACTCAAATCAATTAAAGAAAATATAAACCATACCCATTTAAAACCTAAATAATTTTAACTCAAGTTGTAGGTTATACTAATGAATTTTATGTGGTTATTGTTGTTGTTGTTAACATCCATTCACGTTCATTTATTGTGTTTGATTATGTTCATTTGTTATGTTTGTGCAGGTTTGTTTATGTTCATTTATTGTGTTCATTTACATTCGTACGTTTATGTTTGTTTACATTCGTTTATGTTTGTTTACATCCGTTCGTTTATGTTTGTTTATGTTCGTTCATTTGTGTTCGTTTATCATTTAAATGAAAGAACATGAACGAACACGAATATTTTTAGGTATGACTCATAAATATACCAGTAAAGGAAAGTCTCGTAGAGGGGGTTACGATTATGTGGGTTGGGGGTACGGGGGTATAACCCCGCGGTATGGTACAGGGTTATTTTTGTAAATATGTACCAGGGTTTATTTATTATAAAAGGAGATATAACCTAAATCTATGAGATATTGAATTGAATAAAAATTCTAGCGTCGCCTAAGGCACCGAGGACGTAAGCACATTGCTGAATCTCATTAAAATTCTTGTGCTCTTTCTATTTTCTTTACCCGATTATTCAACAATTGATATCAGATGTCAGGATCCAAATTCGAAGTTACGAAATTCGATGGTCAGGATAACTTCGGATTATGGAAAACAAGGGTGAATGATTTGTTGGCGCAGCAAGGGATCCTGAAGGCTTTGCGACCTACAAAGCCGGCGTCGATGGAGGAGGAAGATTGGGAAGAATTGCAGCAGCGAGCGGCAGGAACCATACGATTATGTTTGGCAAACGAGGTAATGTATCACGTCATACATCTGTCATCTCCAGATGAAATTTGGAAGAAGTTGGAAAGTAAGTTTATGTCCAAATCCTTAACGACTAAATTGTATATAAAGCAACGGCTGTATGGGTTGAAGATGCAGGACGATTATGATTTGGTGCAACACGTGAATGTCTTCAATCAAATTGTTTCTGATTTGGCTCGGTTTGATGTGGAAATTGAGGATGAAGACAAAGAGATAATTTTGCTGTGTTCGTTGCCTCCCTCTTACAAACACATGGTGACTATTCTTGCATATGGGGAAGAGACTATCAAAGTTAAGGAGATTACTATAGCCTTGTTGGCTCACAACCAGTGGAAGCAGAATGCAGGAGAAAGCTCTCAAGCTGATAGCTTATATGTCAAGGGTAATCGAGACTATGGATGGAAGCCAGAGAAGGCATGGTCTGGGAAGCGGAATTTTAGATCCAAATCTAGGGATAAGAAGATAATTCACTATTACAAGTGCAAAGAGGTAGGATATATGAAGCGAGACTGTCTAAAGTTGAAAAACTAGACTGATGAGAAGCGTGATGACTCATCCAAGTTTGTGAATGTGGTCAAGGATGATAATTCTGATTGTAGTGAGGGTGATATGCTCTCTATTTCAATAACTCAATTGACGGATGCTTGGATTCTTGATTCTGGATATTCTTATCACATCACACCAAATAGGGAATGGTTTTCGATATTCAGGTCGGTTAATTCTGGTTCTGTATATTTGGGTGATGATTGATGTTGCAATATTATTGGTATTGGTGATGTCAAAATTAAGATGTATGATAGTTCTGTTCGGATGTTGTGTGGTGTTCGGCATATCCCAGATTTGAAGAAGAATTTGATTTCTTTGGGCACTTTGCACAAGAATGATTTTATCCCTAAGGTTGATGAGGATAGGGAAACCATTCAGATTGTTAAAGGAGCTTTGGCTGTGATGAAAGGAAAAATGATTGCAGAGAATATTTACAGATTGTTAGGGAGTACCGTTGTAGGTGGAGTTCATTCTGTTGAGTCATGTGATGATACTATCAAACTGTGGTATATGCATCTTGATCATCTTAGTGAACGTGGTATGACTGAATTACATACAAGAAATCTGTTGTATGGTGTTAAAAGTTGTAAGCTCGATTTTTGCAAGTATTGTGTTCTTGGTAAACAGACTAAAGTTCGTTTCAAGACTGGAAGCACACAACTGAAGGGATTCTTGATTATGTGCATTCTGATGTATGAGGGCCTTCTACGACATCGTCTTTGGGTGGATCTAGGTATTATGTTACTTTTATTGACGATTTTTCACGGAAAGTTTGGGTGTATTTTTTGAAACAGAAGTCTAACGTTTTTGAGAAGTTCAAGCTGTGGAAAGCTGAGGTAGAAAACCAAACAGGACGAAAAATCAAGTGTTTGCGGTCTGACAATGATACGGATTACACAGATTCACAGTTTCTAAACTTCTGTAAGGAATATGGGATTAAGAGGCATTTTACAGTGCACAAGACACCACAACAGAGTGGTGTTGTTGAACCGATGAACATGTTATTGAATGAAAGAGCCAGATGTTTGCAGTTGAATGCGGGGATTCCCAAACACTTCTGGGCTGAGGCTATTAACATGGCGTGTTATCTTATCAATAGATCGCCAAGGGCATCATTGGCTGGGAAAGTTGCAGAAGAGGTATGGACTGATCATGATGTTACTTTTGATCACTTACGGATTTTTGGTTGTCCTGCTTATATGCATGCACCTGCTGATGAGAGATCCAAACTTGATGCAAAATCGAAGGAGTACATTTTTCTGGGTTACAAGAAAGGTGTCAAAGAATTCAAGTTCTGGGATCCAGTTGAGAAGAAAATTGTGATCAGTAGAGATT